AATACAGCAAAAGCAAATGCTGCATGCAGAATCAAAGGAAAACAAAAGATTTATTCTCTATTGCCCCTCAGCAAGTGATGTCCAGCCACTTCCCAGGAAGTACTGCTTCCATAGTGATTGCTCTAGAAGATAAACTTTATAGTAATAAATGCTTCCACCCGCTCCACCCCCCCCACCATCCCCCCACCACCCCCCAGACACCCCCACCCCCTGTTCTCTTAGGTTTTACTGCTAGCTGACATCATGCAGTATGCAGTATGGAATATCCCTTCGGTCAGTTGGGGTCAGCTGTCCTGACTGCGTCCCTTCCTAAGATTTTGCTTGCCCCTATCGTACTGGTGAGGGGGGAGCACTGGAGACAGCCTTGATGTAGCAGCCATAACACAAATATGTTATTATCCAATACAAAGCACAGCACTGTGAGAGTTGCTGTGGGGAAAATTAGCGCCACTGCAGCCAGAGCCAATAGAAGGGTGAAGAAAACCTCAGAATATGTCCTCCTGTCTACTTTTTAATACTATCAGCTTGAACAGTCTGTCAGACGTTGTGTTCATGTGAAAGCAGGGGAACAGGGAAAAAATGGGTCTTGAGGTTTTTCTGAAGTGTACAGAGCAGTTATCCACTCGTAAAAACTAAAAGGCAGTCCTAATGCTAAACACCATACTAAATATTTAACAGCATTGCTATTTTAGTAATTCGTGCCCCTTATACATACCTGTTTCTCTCTCTACCTCACTTTTTTTTTCTTTTTGTTGCACCACACAATGAAACCAATGTTACACACTGAAGCTTAATTTTCTAGTTTTTCTTGCTGAAAAGGAATTAACATTTTAGACAGCCATCATTAGGCATTAGCTTGCTGCTCTCAACAGTTAAAACTCTTAAAAGCTACTCCTGGCAGTCTTGCACTTTAAGAGGAAAGAGCCATGAGCAGCACTGATAAATGGTTGGTATCTTCAGCTAATATAATCCCTAATAGAAGCCCTAAACTTTCAAGTAAATCTAATAATTACATGTTTTATTGCTAAAAAATTAATTACTCTTGCCCAAACATGCTTCCCTCTTGACAAACCAAAACCTTATGTTTACTTTGCGTTAGCAATTTATGTGCGTTCAGTACTGAAAAAATCAGACAGTGCAAGGCTTGTAATTTCAGCACTTGCTCTTCCGACAAAATACATTCATCATAAGCCTTTCTAAAAAACCACACAGGAATTCCAGTTTTTATCCTTACAGTTTTTCACCCTATTTCAAGTTTCGTTAAAGTGCCATATTATGCAGCGGATAAAAGTAGTAATAAACCCAAGCTTGCAATTTTCAATACTGGGAGAAATACCTTTCCTCCTGTTTTTAAACCCATATATGCTGAACTTCAGTTTCTGCTTTTCCTCACCACAATTCAAGTCTCAGCTAACCCAAACTCCAGTTACTACAAGAGGGCACCATTTCACTGATCACCTCCCATCCACTTAATAGCTCATACATTTTATTTATTTCAAAGTGCTGAACTGAACAAAAAACTACATAGGGGGAGTCAGAGCTGTCAAACAGAAGCAACTGCTGCTATAGCTTAGGGAAGATAGATAGAAATTCTTAAAAAAGAAACTTTATAAATCTTTATTATTTTGTCTACACAAACATTACCAGATACAGCTCCAATACAGTTAAAAGCACTTCCTGTTAACTACATGCAAGCTCAATATTCAGTCTTCTTAACAGACTTTTGTTTCTTATGGAGTAGTCTTGCCATGGGTCTCAGGCTGATTCGAACAATTCTTCCTAGGGAAAAAAAAGTAAACCAATGTGAGATTGGGCACATTTAGCATGCATCTGTTTTCAGTAACATCCTCTACAGCCCTGAGACTGGTACCAAGCTACAAGGACCACCTTCCACCTTCATCCTTCTGGAACAAAATCAAACCCTGAAACCTGCAAATGTAATTTTTAAACAGCCTACCTAAAAGAGAGGCTCTTCGCCTGTTTAAGCAAGACTTCAGATCCTAATTACAAGTTGGTGGCAGTACCCACACTTTCTAGCTTGTGGCAATCAGTAGAAGGTTTTGTAGTAATAACTTTTGTACATGTCTGTCCATTATACAACAGTTTAAGATAGTGAGCCAATAATAGATGAGATTTAGTAATTTTACATTGAAAAACAAGTAGTTGAAAAAAGGTTGAAAAATCTGTTATTGGATACATTACTCATAGTGGATTACACATACATTTATCTTACTGGCATCCAACAGGTTCATATAAAAAGAATGCCCACTTACTCTTCAGCCTTGCAAAAAAATCCCCAGTGGCTATGGTGCTGAAGGTCTGGGAGGAATTTTACGAGTTCATTTTCTATTGACAGCACTGATAAAGGATTAACCTTGTCTGCATTTTTCAGTTTGCTCAAGGGGATTTTCACATTTCAGTACATGAAACATCCTGATTCTAGTATTTTCAAGAGGACTGGGTCAAACATAAAGGAATTTTATCACTTCACTGAAGATTTCTGTTACATTCTTTCCTGCAAGAAAACCAACAGTGATGGTGGGGATCTTTTACATCACTCAACGCTTTCATATGAACGTATGCATGCTCATGCAAAATACTGAACCATCTTTCATTTTAATCTTTAATTAATCAGTTTAATTTTTCCCCAAAAGTTACTTGAGTAATTTCTCATCAGGAAATAGCATGTATTATTTAAACAACTCCAGAATAAACATTCTGGTAGCTGCAGAGAAACCAGTTTCTGAGTACCCGTCTTAAGCATGGACAAGTATTGGATCACAAACTTGTTTTGAAACTTGACTCAGCTCAGATTGCACAGCTTCACTTAAGAGCTTGTCATGTTGTCTCTGTAAGCAGCTGCCAAATAATCAGTGTGCTTTCCCAGAGCTGCAATCGAGATTTTGGAAGTCATTACTGCAAGCACCACACAACTGTACAATCTGTACTTCTCTTCTGTAGAAGTTAGTAAGGTATTACCCATTTCTAGCACAGTGAAAAAAAAATAAAAAGGCAACAGAATTATCATTCAAAAGCTTGAATAATCCAAAAAACTCATTAATGGGTGCCAAATACCACTTCTGTTCCTCTCAAAACTTCTGCATAATTTTTATCTCATTTTTCTTGAATAATATTTATAGTTCTTCCCTGGAATTATCACTGTGCAGCGCTGTGTCCCAGAACTGTCCTCTTTGCCTGTCTCTAGGAGAGCCACATGCATCAGTGAAACAATGAAAACAAGAATGCAAAAGATACTTTCGATTTTCTTTTTTTTTTTGTTTTGTTTTGTTTTTTTTTTGTTTTGTGTGTCCTACAATGTAGCTCCTGCATGACAAGGTTCAAATGAGAATTTATAGCTGCAAAAGACATGCAAACAGGGCATCTTTTAGCTGTTCTCTACCCCATCATCACTTCTGTACTTTCTTATGTTTGAATAACTAGTCTTTCCAGTCATATAAAACAACTGCTGCCAAGGAAACTTCCCGCATTTTTTCTTTTCTTTCATTCATACTTCACAAAGTATACAACAGGAACACCGCTTTCTATCATGTAGTGTAATATTGTGACACTATAATTTTAAAAAATATTCAGTCATTTCTTCAGTTTGACTTGAAATTTAAGTTTGCACTCTGAATTTCAGCCTAGATTTAGTCACTATGATATTAGAGCAGGCTACCTAATAATATACTCAATATGGTTTACACTGCTTGAAATGCAGGTAACTAATCATAATGTTTTCTCAGCACTGGATCATCCTTACATCACATTTCCAATACTGACCAAGAAGTTTCTGGCTTCAAAGACCTGGATTACTTGTCACGCTCTTGGGCATATAGATTACACAAACCACACTTTCAACACAGAAGAAATCTTGGATAATACACAGTTTTTATTAATGCTTTATTTGTAGCATTGAATTTCATGCTGACTTGAACTATTCAACTTTTCAATAGTGTTGGCTTTTCTAAGACTACAGTGAAACGGCATCTTGCATTTAAGATTCTAAGACTTCAAGGCCCACCAGTCTTTAAATATTTTGCTTCCTTGTATTCTGAACTGCTCCACAGTATCACCCCCAAAAAACAAACATGGAAAAGCACAGGCTCCCCTTTTAATAAGACAATCACACCAAACTTTAAACTTCAGAGTTTCTACTTTGCTTTTGTTGATGAAAACATAGCCATTGGGCTGATCTCACTCTCAGTGTTTCAAATATGATTTCTGCTCTGAAGTCATTCTGCAAAACTTCTTTTTCAGCAGAAAGTCTGCTTCATGAAAAGACAAGACACCTGCACAAGAAATTATTGCCACTCACCTCATTAAGGCCACTGCAGGACAGCTGGGTAATCAATACTTTTTAACTCTTTCCTACACATCTTTCTCATGCTCAGAGGCTTTCACCACACAGGGTTGATTCTGAGCAACTGAACTTCCAGCAAAACACATCAAACTGTAAAAAGCATTCATAGCATTAAGAAATCTGGTAGGAACAACCCCACAATCCCAAAGTTAAGGGCCACCACTGCTAGCTGTATTAAAATGCACTTAAAAAGTGCATTAAGGAAAGACTGTACTACAGCAAAAGAATAGAATACACTGTTATCCAATATTGAATAGTCCTACAGGGGAATTCTTTTTATACATCCTTGACAGCAGATATAAAAACAAAAAGGAAAGCGTACAAAGGCAAAGCATGTTTTTTCCCCATTAAAGAAGATTTTTATCTTTCCTTCAGTGGAGTATCCTGAAGCTGTAGCTATCTTTTTGCACCAGAGAGCTCAGAGGCCACTGCAGGAGATAGCTGCATACTGATGTTACGTATTAATTACTTGCAGCACAGACATAAGACGTTATGATGGACAGGACGGTTGATGCTAGAAGCGGACACTATTATTTTAGTTTTTCCTCTTTCAGTAACTGTCAATTTCTTCATATTAAAATACAGAAGCATAGCATCTACTATGTAACTGCTCAACCACACAATTTCCACTGGCATTTTTTTCTGTTCTTGCAAAAACAAGGAGGAGAAGTTAAATAACCAGCTCCTTAAACAGTCTGAGCAAGAATTCCTGTTTGCCTTTTTTGGCGTCACTTTCATTCTGGACAGGAATGAATGAGTAACACAAAGGCAAAAAAGTAAGTACTACAACTGATCATCTCTGGAAAATTAAATTATCTGCATATGAAAAAATTAGTTCCTCCATAGGCAAATACTAAAAATAGACAAACGTTTTATACAGGGTAAACATTTGATAAGAAAAACTAAGCACACTCTTAGGACATCTTGTGGTCATGTTGGTGCTTGCTGAGGTTATTGATGGACTTCCCCTGGTTTTGTCTGAAATAAAAGGTGGAACACTTTCACTTGGAAGAGTGACTGAGGCACACAAACAGAACAAGGAGCCCAGTGAGAAACAGATGAAACAACTGGCTAATTTCAAAGAACAGACAGCAGATTCTATGCCACTCCAGCCTGCACACTTTTTGAGATTTAAGGCCACTGTATTACATGAGTACTAGTGGCTTGCTACTGCTATAGGAACCAGTAATTACGCAGAAACCCATCATCTCAGAAAGCCAGACACAGTGCATCAGTCCCACTCACACTTTTTTGCATTACTGAAGTATTCCTTTAAAGTGGGTCATCCTTCTATGTACAGTTATCATGCATTTAAGACCTTTAATGTGTAGATGAGGCCCATAGTGACATGATTTAGTGGTGGACTTGGCAGTTGGACTTGATGATCTTAAAGGTCTTTTCCAACTGAGTTGATTCTATGATCCTATGCACTGCTGGCTGCACAGCAAAAGCCTGCACAAAAGTGTTCGACACAAACTATATAGAGAACTAGAAAGCTCCCTCTTCCAAAAGCTGAGCTTTTGGCAAGTCCACCCAAAATGCCGTGAGAAACCTATAAGGGAACCTTCAAACTTTGAAGCTCTAGCAAATGGTCTCCGATTCACTTAACGCTTTGCTGCATGGAAACAAGACAATGTGGGGGGAAGGAAAGGCCGTTCTCATGCTAAGGTGGCATGGCCATAACCTCACAACCTGGTACTCCAACCCTGTGCCCACTGTACCTCGCACAGTGGGGACAGCAGACCGAGGACGTTGGGAGGGCTGCCACCTCTATGGGCTCCATCTTCTCTGAGCGCCCACCGCGCCTGGCATACCTCTCCAGTGAGCACCAACCCGGCTGGCCGTAGCTAAGCTCAGGGCAGTAGCCGTGGCGGTCTCATCGCCAGTGGGTGCTGGCCCCACTGCTCCAACCGCCATGCAACCACCATGCCGCTGCCATGCAACCATCTCACCATGCATGGGGAAAGAAACCAGCTGCCCACTCTGCTCCCAGCGTGCCTCCCGAGGGCTGAACCAGTATCCTGCAGGGAGGAGGGACAGGGCAGCCATGCAAGCCCCCCCCCCCGCGGTGCAGAGACAGCTCGCACTGATGTGTCACTGACGTGAGTCTTGCACTGATGTGAAGCTACAGTTTTCGTCCTTTGAGCATGCTGTGTCCCTTGCAGGCGCATCCAGCTGGAGCAAGGCAGAGAGACCTGGATCAGCACAGTGTGGAGAGGCAACCTGGGAAGACCACAGGGATATTGTGCGGGAAGCTAAGGAGCAGGTCAGGAAAGCTGAGGCCCAAATAGAATTAAATGTGGCAAAGGATGTGAAAGATAACAGGAAAGGCTTCTCTAGATTTATAGCAAACGAAAGGCACACTAGGGATAATGTGGGCCCTCTCAAGAAGCTTACAGGGGAAGGGGCTGCCTTGGGTTTGGAGAAAGCTGAGGTTCACAGTGACTTCTTTGCCTCAGTCTTTACTGGCAAATGCTATGACCACATCGCCCAAGTCTTTGAAGGCAGATGCAGGGATTGTGAGAATGAAGACTCCAGACCTGATCCTATCCTCCAGATTGGACAGTCTTGGGTGACATGGTCTAGTGTGAGGCCTGGGTGAATTCCAGTCCCAACTTATAAGGGTGTAATTCCATGTTGTGCTTTCTCCAACAAGAAAACCAGATCCTGCCCTTCCTGTCTTGTGACGTCTTGTTCCTTTTCCCAGCATCAGTTATCTACTTGATGAGTTTTGTCAGTGCCAAGACTTGTGGCAGCATGCAACATGGTCGCTGAAACTACCAGGACTCCTGAAACCAGTGATTTGACTATTGGCACAATTAAAATGAGCAATAGAAGAAAATAAAATGAACAAAAATGGTTAAATATAAACTCAGTAGGCTCAAGAAAGGTTAGAATTCAACATACACACTCAGGGTGAGATGTGTGTTGGACAGAAAGCTTGCAGTTCCACCTATTCTTTTCTTTCTTTTTCTCATAGGGTGTCTGCTGTATGTAGACTATTTAGTGATATTATAGGAAATCCTTACACAAGCTGATAAAGTATCTTGAGGGAGCATTGTGAGTAGAAGCTGAAATATCTTCGAAGTGCTTTGTGAGCAGTGAGTCATTAGTGTGTTACTGCTCCTGCCCTATTGTCTGAAGTGATATGGAGCACTTTCAATATTAGGCTTTCTGCATGCCCTTGCTAGATTTCCATCAAAGCTGCAAGATGTGATTTTCTTGGCCTTTTTCCTGACTCATTTCTCTGCCTTTTTCTCTGCCACCCACTAGAGGTCAGTGTAATGCCAAGAATGCCAAGGAATAGGTACAATAATGCCAAATTTCTGCTAGTTGCTAGGATCATAGGGTTTACTTCAGTGCAGCAGATCTGTATAGCAGATCACTTCTCTTTTGTCAGTACCAGTTAAATTAGGGGAAGGGTGGGAAGGTGGCAGTAGGTCAGTGTGAAGTCATCTGTAGATGGTGAGACTGTTAGAGGCTGACTAAACCACAGAAGCATGAAACTTGCTCTGCAGTCAAAGTGTGTTAAGATCAATTAGCAGTATTCCATTTACTCTGTAGAGCCAAAGAAGTGGCCATATCTTGCTAAACTCTAGTCTTAGTGGCTCCTCGTGCTAACATAGGTCATAGTATATTTGTAGTTTGAATGAGAAAATAGTTCGTTTGATAGTCAGTTTCTTGCCTTTTATTCGGTTCTATATTCTTGCATTATGAGACAGGATGAACAGTTTTCCAGGATCTATGTTTTTATTGTACATGCTATTACCAGTTTTACATGGAAGAAAGGCACTCCTGTCTTTCAGGCTTTATTTTTCATAATTCTTCTTACATTTTCCTGAGCTTGTTAGGAAGTAATTCTACTTTTTTCTTTTTTCAGATACAATGCCTGGTGATGGCATGCAAAATTCCAGCTGGGTCTGCACAACTACAGAAGGACTGTATTATTTTAATTACATCTTCCATTCACAAACAGACTCCACTGTTTCTCTTCCTTTTCCTTAAAGCACTGTTTGTTGACTAAAGATCTTCACTGGGCTGTAGTGACAGGCCAGTTTCCTTCAGAACTGAGACTATTAATTGAAAACATTCTAGGACTCTTAGAAGTGAAGTTTTTTTCTCCAATATACTTGGTTTTGTTTGTTGTTACTTAATTTGTTTCCATTGTATTTGCCTATTCAACTGACTTGTGCAGGCTCTTCTGAAGTTTCTCTCAGATTCTATTGGTACCCTGAATAACTATGTTTAATTATAAAACCCAGTAACTTTGAGGATTCTGTTAAATATGTGATAACTCAGATGTGATATGTGATAAACTTAAGAAATTCCTGTAGGCACTCTGTATCAGAAGTCTGGTGGGTTACATTTGGAGCTTGTTTCCTCAGGGTGAAGGGTTTTTCCTTTTTCTATTTCTTTCACTGTGAACAAGGCAATAGGCTAGGTTATCATGGAGGAAAAAGAGATTTTGAACAAATGTCGTTTGCCCTCTGATGTGAATGAACCAATTGACTCTTTCATTTGTGGTTCTTCTAGGACTGAAAATCTGGTAGGAATAAGAAAGAGAAATAACCTGAGCCTAACCCAGGCTCAGGTTAGTAAAGCAGATTTTCAGATGCTCTCAGCATTCCTAAAAGAGGACTCACTTGCTAATGTGTGAATCTGGGTGCCACTGCCAAATCACAGACTGATCCCTTAAATACAGTTTTAGGCTAACGTGTTTCCACAAGTAGATATAAAATAATTCTTACACTCAGAATCATAGAATCATAGAATCATAGAATAGTTAGGGTTGGAAAGGACCTTAAGATCATCAAGATCCAACCCCCCTCCCATGGGCAGGGACTCGCTCTAAACCATATCACCCAAGGCCTCGTCCAACCTGGCCTTAAGCACTGCCAGGGATGGAACATTCACAACCTCCCTGGGCAACCCATTCCAGTGCCTCATCACCCTAACAGGAAAGAATTTCCTCCTTATATCCAATCTAAACTTCCCCTGTTTAAGTTTTAACCCATTACCCCTTGTCCTACCACTACAGTCCCTAATGAAGAGTCCCTCCCCAGCATCCCTATAGGCCCCTTCAGATACTGGAAGGCTGCTATGAGGTCTCCACGCAGCCTTCTCTTCTCCAGGCTGAACAGCCCCAACTTTCTCAGCCAATCTTCATATGGGAGGTGCTCCAGTCGCCTGATCATTCTTGTGGCCCTCCTCTGGACTTCTTCCAACAGATCCATGTCCTTTTTATGTTGAGGACACCAGAACTATACACAGTACTCCAGGTGAGGTCTCACAAGAGCAGACTAGAGGAGCAGGATCACCTCCTTCGGCCTGCTGGTCACACTCCTTTTGATGCAGCCCAGGATACGGTTGGCTTTCTGGGCTGCGAGCGCACACTGAAGCTGGCATGTTCATTTTCTCATCGACCAGCACCCCCAAGTCCTTCTCTACAGGGCTGCTCTGAATCTCTTCCCTGCCCAGCCTGTAGCTGTGTCTGGGATTGCTCCGACCCAGGTGTAGGACCTTGCACTTGGCATGGTTAAACTTCATGAGGTTGGCATCAGCCCACCTCACAAGTGTGTCAAGGTCCCTCTGGATGGCATTCCTTCCCTCCAGTGTATCAACCAAACCACACAGCTTGGTGTCATCGTCAAACTTGCTGAGGGCGCACTCAATCCCACTGTCCATGTCAGCGACGAAGATGTTAAAGAAGACCGGACCCAACACCGATCCATGAGGGACACCACTTGTTACAGGTCTCCAGCTAGATATTG